GGACTAACGTTATTGGGGAGTGGGACAAACGTTATTGGGGAGTGCGACTAACGTTATTGGGGAGTGCGACTAACGTTATTGGGGAGTGCGTCTAACATTATTGGGAAGTGAGACTAACGTTATTGGGGAGAGCGACTAACGTTATTGGGGAGAGCGACTAACGTTATTGGGGAGTGTGACTAACGTTATTGGGGAGTGGACTAACGCTATTCGTTAGTGCGACTAGCGTTATTGGGGAGTGAGACAAACGTTATTGGGGAGTGCGGCTAACGTTATTGGGGAGTGGGACTAACGTTATTGGGGAGTGGGACTAGCGTTATTGGGGAGTGGGACTAACATTATTTGGGAGTGGGAGAAATGGTTTTCCTGTGGCTTACAGTTCTAGGTATCCTTTGCGTTACAGTTAGACGTGGTAAAACATTTATTATCCTTGACGTTACAGCTGGACCTGGTTAAACACCTGTCTGTACGAGTCCTTACACTGATGTTCGTCCCACTGTGTATATATGTGTCCCTGTTCTACATCCACCTGACCACACTGACCAAAGCTGGACCTCATGATAATGTCATGACAAGTGGATTCCAGGCTAGTCTGGAGGTATGTCTACAATAACCACTACTGGTACAGGGGAGTAGATTACAACAGCTGGTAGAGTGGGTATAGTATCATACCATTATATATATATAAACTCACTACTGGTACAGGGGAGTAGATTACAACAGCTGGTAGAGTGGGTATAGTATCATACCATTATATATATATAAACTCACTACTGGTACAGGGGAGTAGATTACAACAGCTGGTAGAGTGGGTATAGTATCATACCATTATATATATATAAACTCACTACTGGTACAGGGGAGTAGATTACAACAGCTGGTAGAGTGGGTATAGTATCATACCATTATATATATATAAACTCACTACTGGTACAGGGGAGTAGATTACAACAGCTGGTAGAGTGGGTATAGTATCATACCATTATATATATATAAACTCACTACTGGTACAGGGGAGTAGATTACAACAGCTGGTAGAGTGGGTATAGTATCATACCATTATATATATATAAACTCACTACTGGTACAGGGGAGTAGATTACAACAGCTGGTAGAGTGGGTATAGTATCATACCATTATATATATATAAACTCACTACTGGTACAGGGGAGTAGATTACAACAGCTGGTAGAGTGGGTATAGTATCATACCATTATATATATATAAACTCACTACTGGTACAGGGGAGTAGATTACAACAGCTGGTAGAGTGGGTATAGTATCATACCATTATATATATATAAACTCACTACTGGTACAGGGGAGTAGATTACAACAGCTGGTAGAGTGGGTATAGTATCATACCATTATATATATATAAACTCACTACTGGTACAGGGGAGTAGATTACAACAGCTGGTAGAGTGGGTATAGTATCATACCATTATATATATATAAACTCACTACTGGTACAGGGGAGTAGATTACAACAGCTGGTAGAGTGGGTATAGTATCATACCATTATATATATATAAACTCACTACTGGTACAGGGGAGTAGATTACAACAGCTGGTAGAGTGGGTATAGTATCATACCATTATATATATATAAACTCACTACTGGTACAGGGGAGTAGATTACAACAGCTGGTAGAGTGGGTATAGTATCATACCATTATATATATATAAACTCACTACTGGTACAGGGGAGTAGATTACAACAGCTGGTAGAGTGGGTATAGTATCATACCATTATATATATATAAACTCACTACTGGTACAGGGGAGTAGATTACAACAGCTGGTAGAGTGGGTATAGTATCATACCATTATATATATATAAACTCACTACTGGTACAGGGGAGTAGATTACAACAGCTGGTAGAGTGGGTATAGTATCATACCATTATATATATATAAACTCACTACTGGTACAGGGGAGTAGATTACAACAGCTGGTAGAGTGGGTATAGTATCATACCATTATATATATATAAACTCACTACTGGTACAGGGGAGTAGATTACAACAGCTGGTAGAGTGGGTATAGTATCATACCATTATATATATATAAACTCACTACTGGTACAGGGGAGTAGATTACAACAGCTGGTAGAGTGGGTATAGTATCATACCATTATATATATATAAACTCACTACTGGTACAGGGGAGTAGATTACAACAGCTGGTAGAGTGGGTATAGTATCATACCATTATATATATATAAACTCACTACTGGTACAGGGGAGTAGATTACAACAGCTGGTAGAGTGGGTATAGTATCATACCATTATATATATATAAACTCACTACTGGTACAGGGGAGTAGATTACAACAGCTGGTAGAGTGGGTATAGTATCATACCATTATATATATATAAACTCACTACTGCTACAGGGGAGTAGATTACAACAGCTGGTAGAGCGGGTATATATCCTACCATTATAATATTATAGATATAAACTCACTACTGGTACAGGGGAGTAGATTACAACAGCTGGTAAAGTGGGTATAGTATCATACCATTATATATATATAAACTCACTACTGGAACAGGGGAGTAGATTACAACAGCTGGTAGAGTGGGAATAGTGTCATACCATTATATATATATAAACTAACTAGTGGTACAGGGGAGTAGATTACAACAGCTGGTAGAGTGGGTATAGTATCATACCATTATATATATATAAACTCACTAGTGGTACAGGGGAGTAGATCACAACAGCTGGTAGAGTGGGTATATATCCTACCATTATAATATTATAGATATAAACTCACTTCTGGGACAGGGGAGTAGATTACAACAGCTGGTAAAGTGGGTATAGTATCATACCATTATATATATATAAACACACTACTGGTACAGGGGAGTAGATTACAACAGCTGGTAGAGAGGGTATAGTATCATACCATTATATATATATAAACTCACTACTGGTACAAGTCATTATATTACAAATGTTGGTGGAATGGTTGCAGTAGAATACTAGTAGACTATACAGTGCTTACATTGCACTCGTTCATCATGTATAAATTTCTACCATAATTGTATATGTACTGTTGGTTACCGATACGTAATGGAACTTTTAGTGATAGTTATGAAGTATGGAATGCTTCAGTGTTATCGGTTTTAGCTGCTCATTATCAGATGTGAGTGACAAACATGTGTTGTTTTATAGGGAGGTCTGGCTGCACTGACCAAGGAATGCTTCAGTGTTATTGGTTTTAGCTGCTCATTATCAGATGTGAGTGACAAACATATGTTGTTTTATAGGGAGGTCTGGCAGCACTGACCAAGGGCCAGCCTCTACATGTGTCATACGGGTCACAGATCACACTTCGCCTCACCCATGGTGCTGCTGGGGCCAAGCCTTGCTGGCTGCACTCACACCAGCACGTGTACCCCGTACGTTACCCCGACGGCCGCGGCAGCTCACACCAACAACAGGTCACGTGTTATCTCTTCAAGGATGTATATAACTGGTGGATCGTCAAACACCCAGACAGGTCAGTATAACCTGTCTAAACTGAACCATGTATACTCTGGAAAACTGTTTAAACCAGATGAAACTAACAGGACAGACAATATGTGGATAGACAATCTGAACTTATTTTACACATAGTCCTTAGCTTCCTGGACACACAATCTTACCTGTACAGACATTTTTTCCTGGACATACGATCTTTCCTGTACAGGAAATCGAATTACATGGACAGACATAACCTGACTGAAAATCTTTGAATGGATGGTCAATCTGAAATGGATGGGCTACATGTTTATGAGTGTATTGAGTTGTCACACTGTTCTGGTTCTGTATAACAGGTTTGTGTTATTTCCAGGGAGTCGCTGGTTGTTGACGAGCCTCCTCAGGCGGTAAAGCATGGGGATGTTGTACAGCTAGTCCATGGGATATCTAGTCGGGCACTGAACAGGTGAGAACCTCTAGTGTATAGGTGTTTCTGTGTTGTAGGTTATGTGATACATCATGATATGTTACTACTAATTAGAATATAACCCTATTGTATTTTGAGATTTTTGGCAGTATATTGTGGTTATAAGGCCACACATTATTTTGATTGATCAATGAAGTTCCATGTTACATCCCAAATGAGCTACAATCTTTAATATTTTCCTTGCAGCCATGACGTAGCTGCCCCTATGACACCTCAGAACCAGGAGGTGACTTGTTACATAGACTACAATGTGTCCATGCCTGCACAGAACCTTTGGAGGATGGTACGCATTGAGTGTAAAAAAAGAATTGTATGTCTGGGTAGCACCATAGCAGGTGATACTGTGTTGGATATCACCATCTTTCTTGATCCATGACCTATCTGTTTAATCAAAAACAAGTAAAACTATTCAGGAAAATAACAATGTCATGTTTGAGTTTGAAGATGAGTCTAATGGCTAGATTGTCACTGAGTTTGAAGATGAGTCTAATGGCTAGATTGTCACTGAGTTTGAAGATGAGTCTTATGGCTAGATTGTCACTGAGTTTGAAGATGAGTCTAATGGCAAGATTGTCACTGAGTTTGGTTAATCTAAATAGAAAAGTTACTTGTGCTGTGATTTTAAAGGAACAAGGCCTTACAAAAGTCCTCTTCATTTGCAGGAAATTGAAAATCGTGAGAATGATGAAGAAACCTGGCAGACAATCAAAAGTCATGTGAGGTTTGTCCACATGGACACTCGACAAGCCCTAAAGGTAAAATATAACTCAATACAGTTAGGGGTTCAGTGTTAACATGTCTGTCTGTAGTCTAGCATCATTAAGTTATTATAAAAAAGGTGGTGAAATACACTGTCATTTTGTCTGTCTGTCAATTACTCTACATAAAGGGAGCATTGAGGATTAAACCACATGAACATTCAACCCTACTTCCTTGTCAACTGCAGTATCATGTGTCATCAGCCATTATGTGGTGGGGGTATGTGAAGTGTATCAATACATGTACAACTGTGATTTACAGGCGACTGGTAAACAGCTGCCGGAGTGGGGGTTTCACCAGATAGAGGTGGCCACAGACCGTGTGGTCACACAGCCCGGCACTGTCTGGAACGTGGAAGAGCACCGCTACACAACAAGTAAGGATTCACATACTGTATACTGGAGTGGGGGTGGGGATGGGGGTGGGTCACCAGATAGAGTTGGCTACAGACCGTGTGGTCACACAGCCAGGCACTGTCTGGAACGTGGAAGAGCACCGCTACACAACAAGTAAGGATTCACATACTGTATACTGGAGTGGGGGTGGGGATGGGGGGGGGTCACCAGATAGAGGTGGCTACAGACCGTGTGGTCACACAGCCCAGCACTGTCTGGAACGTGGAAGAACACCGCTACACTACAAGTAAGGATTCACATACTGTATACTGGGGTGGGTGTGGGGGTGGGGGGGTCACCAAATAGAGGTGGCTACAGACCGTGTGGTCACACAGCCCAGCACTGTCTGGAACGTGGAAGAACACCGCTACACTACAAGTAAGGATTCACATACTGTATACTGGGGTGGGTGTGGGTCACCAGATAGAGGTGGCTACAGACCTTGTGGTCACACAGCCCGGCACTGTCTGGAACGTGGAAGAGCACAGCTACACCACAAGTAAGGATTCACATACTGTATACTGGGGTGGGGGTGGTCACCAGCTAGAGTTGGCCACAGACCGTGTGGTCACACAGCCCGGTACTGTCTGGAACGTGAAATNGTCATTTTCAACTCATATTTGTTTTAAATAATGAACTTGGTATCATACAGAAAAAGAAAAAAAAAATTACAATACAGACTTTTCCATAAAACATAAAAATGGTGATTTTCATTGAATGGTATGTACACTTCAGACACTTCATGAGTGCCAGAGGGGATAAGAGGACATGGCAGACTGGAGAGGTCACTTCCAACAAACAGACAGATGGAAACTCCTGTGGTGTATTTGTCTTGATGGTAAAAATATAATTTCAGCATTCATTTTCGATGTATTAGTGGTTTTTGAGATAGCATGAGTGGTGGTGTCAGAGAAGGTTAAAAATGTTAATAGTATGATTGAAATAAAACATAAATTTCAAAAATAAAAAAAAATGTTTCTGGGACACAAGTACATAATTCAACTTAATACAACACAATGGAAATATGTTGCTAATACACGGTTTCTTTTGCATATAAATCAGAACTGTAATTTTAATATACTAAATAACAAAGGATCAATAGATCATTAATAATCATGGATTTATAAAAAAATAAAAATATTTTAATGAATATTAATTTCTTAATTTCAATGTTTATAATTTTTGTTAACATTTTGATCTTACAGAATGCAGAGGCAATTATGGAAGCAACAACACCCTTGATAATGAGGCAATGTCATGTTGGATTCTTCAGAAAGTATGCCCTTAAGAAGCTACTACAGAGCCCATCTGGAGCAAAGAAAACATCCTGTGACTTGCCTTTTTGTACAAACACGGACAAATCTCAACGGATCAGCCAGTGTGGGCAGTGTGATAAGTGGGCTCATCCCAAGTGTTTGGGTCTACCGTCCGACAAAATGCAGTCTCCAAGCCTCTGTGTGTTTTGTTAGTGTAACACATGTGTCACAACATTGAATATGAAACTAGTTCTCAATATTATAAATTATGCCATGGTGCGTCGTCCATCCGTCGTTCGTGTCAACTTTTCCTTTTAAAAACTACTAGTCATGAACAACCCACGATACTTAACTTGGTCTGGAGCACCCCTAGGCTAAGTGCATTCAATTTTGTATAAATGGTGGGTGTGGCCTTCCTGGGGGCAGAGGGGCGGGCCCAATAGGGGAAATAGGGGTAAAACCTTTAAAATTCTTCTTCTACCATTGGAATAAAAACATTTTATTCTGATTTAATCTGGAGCATCTTTGTGCCAA